AGACGCATCGCCATTAGTTTTATAGCAAATGGTTTACCTTATAAATTAATATACCGTATATTTCATGCGTCTGGAAATAGATTCACAGAGGCTTACTGAACCTTGCATCTGGCTGAGAGTTATAATGCTACTTTCCGTTTTTCAGCCTTTGAGTCCATTAGTCAGCCTCAGTTTCGCACTTTTCAGACAATATGTCTGTTTTGTCAGCTAGCCATATTTGAACATCCCTTAACTCGAAGTACCCGTGTTCCTTACATTCCATCGCCGTCTGAATTATTTATTCCGTTTTTCAGGCCGAATAAGTGTCACAGAAATTTGCGAACAAAATGGTATCCGGGCACGCCATTTCGACACAATACAAATGATCTCGAAATGTATCGAAATATTGACAATATCAAGTTGAGCGTGTTTGATGTCAAACTATTGTCGGTGACTTTGTTGATGGAAATAGCAGGTCTAAAACAGCGGTCGTGCCAAGGCTGGGACTGATAGCACGCCCGCCTTGGCTCCGTCCACAACCACCTTTGGACCTTGGGTGTCCTTGCAAGGCGGGGGAGTCACAGCATTTTAGATGTTCAAGCGGCCGAAGCCAAAGAGTTTGTTGGGATATTTCGTGTTGGTAATGCCTCCGCAGGTCTTGTTGGGTGGATATAACGTATCCGTGTCCACATTCTCGGTCAAGGCCGCGTACGCTTGGTCGTACGAGGCGCCGTTGTTGGCAGACAAGTACAAGGCGATGGCTCCAGAAACATGAGGCGCGGCCATGCTCGTACCAGATTCCCGGATGAAACCATTGTCACTGAAGTGTACTGCCGAATGGATGCTGACACCAGGAGCCGAAATGTCGGGTTTGCCGCGCTTCCTCACGGATGGTCCCAAACTTGAATCGAACGCCAAAAAATCGCCTGAGTTAGTGGAGCCGACAGTAATCACTTGAGGGCACGCAGCAGGATAACTTGAATACGCACAGCCTTTAAGCCTTTGTTGCCATTCGCAAACACGGGAATGATTCCCGCTTCTCTTCACATTCTAATCGAATCTTCCAAAAAAACGTCCGTGCGGTGCTCTCCAAAGCTGTCGTTGATCACATGGGGGGCCTTGCTGGAGTCGCAGTTGTTGCCGTCTTTGTCGTGGGGACAAAGCAGGAAATGATCGCATTGCACCACCATACGGTCCTCGCACCCTTTGCACGCAATCCACTTGGCCTTGGGAGCGACACCAATACCTTTCGTTCCCAGCATGATGCCATGACGTGAGTGCTGTGGCCATCCGTGTCGCTGGGCAGCTGGTTCGTCTTGTTGTACGGGTTGAACCAACCGTATTCTCTTCGCCAGTTCGACTCCAACGACTCATGGATATGGTGAACACCTGTGTCGATGTTGGCCACGACAATGCCTTCGCCCTTGATATCATTAGCCTACAGCGCCGGCGCTTGGATCTTCTTGATCCCCCATTCGATGACATCATTGACAGCACTTGCTGGTTTGTCATCGCTTTTGGTTTGACTGAGTTCCATCATAACTGCCTCGTAAATGGATTTGACTTCCGGCAACGCCGCGAACTTGTGGACGAGGTCGGTGGGGGCGTTGTTGATGTACATAGAACATTGGATCCATGTCGTGGCCACTGCCACAGCCGTTGATTCAACTTGGTTGGCCAGGAGCGACTTGACCGACGCCTGAGACGTGGTGGTATGCTCTTTCAACGAATTAACCAGCGACTCGATGGTTTCGGTGCGAGACGCTTTTCTGCAGCGTGCAGAGCAATTGGGTCGCGCGTTAGTTTGACCCATTGCAAACACACACACTCTGTGTGTGTGGTGGGTCAAAGGTCCCGATACCTTAATGGAGGTACTGAGTACTTTAGTGAATGGTAGTCAGTAGGCGCCTCGTGGCGTGTTTAACCTCACTAATATCAGTGTGTGTATTTGCTGCCTTGACGAAGGTCCCGTGGCCGAAAGCCATGAAGAAGCGGGAGACAATACAGACGCGCCGCCCTTGAGTCGGCGGTGGTGGGTGGTGAGGGCCTCGTCACAGTAAAATTTCACCACGATATTCGACTGCTTGGCGATTTCCAAGTTGCGATGCACTTGGACCGAGATCTTGGCCGTGGCAGCGGTGGCGGTGAGGGCCATAAATTTAATCTGAACCATGATGTTTTTGGGTTAATGGAAATTGCAAAAGGAGACCAATGACTCTCGAGCTGGATGTAGCACTTGACTTGCCTTGCGCAACACGCTGGGAAATATGTATCAGGTCAGCTGTTGTGTGTACTGTCTGTGTACAATATGTATGGCTACGTGATGAAATCGTTAACCTGGACCAAAAGCTTAGGTCAAGTATACCTACTAGTAAGCATGATCTTGCTTAAAGTGTGCAATTCTGCAAATGAGAGATTTTCTCATCCCTAGCTTTACGCTAGGCCGAATAAAATACTCAGAATCAGTATTCCTATTCCCCAATCTGCAAATGCGAGATTCTATCATTTGCAGAGGCCAATAGAAATCCAGTAAATTGAAATATTTACAATGTCATTGGCTTAAGCCTACGAATGTACTCGAGTATGATTGTCTCTACTGCAAATGAGAGTACCTCTCATTTGGAACACCTCCCGTCCGCCGATCCTAGCGGGTTAAGCTTATGGAATGCTCAAAATCGTGTACAGTTCATTATTACTGGAATAGAAAATGATACTATTATTAATAATAATAGTAAGACGCAACAAGATTCTGACGAAATTGTCGACAATGTGCGATGACATACCAAATTCACCATATGACTTATGAGCAGCCCTTGAAGTTCAATGTAATTTGACATGAGGTGGGATGGTCGCCACCACATGGAAGCATGTACACACAGTAGACCTCTAACCCAGAGACTGAATGACTGACTAGACACAAAGTAGTTTGTCATATTCTCATCATTCAAATAGAGTGCATTCAAACTTACAAACACCCCATAGTTCGCCAAAAAAGTACCGGGATGCAAACTGTTTGTGTGGTATACCCTCAACGGTGGCTTGTGCCGGCTCAAGGACTCCCAAGGTCCTAAGGTGGCTGTGGACGGAGCCAAGGCGGACGCGCTATCAGTCCCAGCCTTGGCACGACCGCCGTTGTTTTAGACCTGTTATTTCCATCGTCAACAAAGTCACCGACAATAGTTTGACATTAAACACGCTCACAACTTGATATTCTCAATATTTCGATAAATATCGAGATCATTTGTATTGTGTCCAAATGGCGTGTCCGGATACCATTTTGTTCACAAATTTCTGCGACACTTATTCGGCCTGAAAAACGGAATAAAAAATTCAGACGGCGATGATATGGTATGGTATTCAAATATGGTTGGGCAAGTTGCTTTGAAATACAAGTAAATTTTTAGCCAACCAAAATGGAGAATTAGAATAGAATTTCTATTCTTTTCAAACACACAAAACATTATATATTACGGGTCATTGAACTGCCGAGGCTCGATACATACCGGTAGTGTACTCAGGGAATATGTCAATACTCTTATCTAATACAGCAGTGTATAAGGTTTCACAAAAGTCGTACTGCCCAATCAGGGCCCCCATACGAGGCCTTTACCCCTATCACAAGCGTTCCCCTCGCATTGCGCAAGCTTCACCTACCATTGACCACCTTACTTACGGCGGAGGTACCATCAGACTGAAATAAGGGTACCGGTCATGGCAATTGGTCCGGGTGAGGTTAAAATTTAAAAAAATCTGCTAAACAGAAAAACCAGCAAAAAAGAGAGGTCTAAAATATTAAAACGTAATAAAACCATTTAGGACATTTTCTCGCTCGTAGGACATTTCAAGCACGTGGAATTGCTTTCTCAAAACTACGGCGAATCTCATGCGATGTACTAAGCACCCACGCCTTGACTGCACGATGGATCATGGCAAGTCGCTTCTGCCGCGCTGTAACTGAGTAGACGTCTTTGTTATCCCCGTCATCATTGCCATCAATGATCTCTTCTTGTAGCCAGAGGGTACGGGGGTGGCGCTTGAATGGCCCCATGATACCTACATCCAGTACGGCAATCCACTGAAACCTTGACGTCCCATCCAGAACTCCTTCATGAATTGTAACCATTAAATGACACCATCCAGGCACCTTCCCGTGGAAAGTGTCTGGACGTTTTCGTTTACACATGTGACGAACAAGCTTGTGTCAAGGGGCACTTGACGATGAGCACAGTGACAGGAAATGTTGCGATATCCCGCAAAATATATACTAGTTAGAGTAGCATATTATTATTTATTCCGTTTTCAGGATATTTTCGGCCGAATAAGTATGTATCACAGAAGTTTGGCGACAAAATGGTATCCAGACACGCCCTTTTGACACAATTCAAATGATTTTGATATTATTTATCGAAATATTGAGAAATATCAAGTTGAGCGTGTTTAATGTCAAACTATTATTTTCGGTGATTGGTTTGACGATGGTAAAAACTGGTCTAAAACTACGGCCGTTGTCCCGAGGCTGGGGCTGGTAGCACGCCAGCCTTGGCTCCGTCCACAGCCACCTTTCGGCCTTGGGTGTCTTTGAGCCGGCACAAGCCACCGTTGAGGTTGTACCACACAAACACTTTACATCCCGGTGTCTTTTTACATTCAGCGCAGCAGGATTCAACAGTCGTCAGATTGACCGAAGTCAAGTCGCCGCCAATATAGTGCGTGTTGTCTTCCAAGGTGCCACACGTGCTTAGGTCATCGGTCGGGTTCAGGACTTGGGTGGACTCGGATGGCGGGGGAAGAGTGAGGCCGCGGATGCTAGCAGCCACGGCGTTGAAGATGTTCAAGCGGCCGTGGCCAAAGAGGTTGTTGGGATACTGCGTGTTGGGAATGCCACCGCAGGTCTTGTTGGGTGGAGTTAACGTGTCCGTGTCCGCATGCTCGGTCAGGGCCCTGTACACTTGGTCGTACGAGGCGCCATTGTTGGCAGACAAGTACAAGGCGATGGCTCCAGACACATGAGGTGCGGCCACGCTCGTGCCAGATTCCGAGATGAAACTATCGTCACTCAAGTGTCCTGCGGAACGGATGTTTTCACCAGGAGCCGAAATGTCGGGTTTGATGATTGTTTTGTTCAAGACGGAAGGTCCCAAACTTGAATCCAACGCCAAAAAATCGTTATCGTCAGTGTTGCCGACAGCAATCACTTGAGGTGACATGCCAGGATAACCTGAATGCCCACAGCCTTCAAGGCCGTGGTTGCCGATCGCAAATACGGGAATGATTCCCGCTACTCTCCACTTTGCAATGATATCTTCCAAAGAAAAGTTCCTGGTGTGCCTTCCAAAGCTGCCGTTGATCACATGAGGGGCCTTGCTGGGGTCGCATTTGTTGCCGTCGTTGTTGTGGGGACAAAGCAGGAATTGAGCGCATTCCACCATCATGAGTTCATTGCAACCGTTGTTGCACCATTTGCACGCAATCCACTTGGCTTTGGGAGCGACACCAATACCTTTTGTTCCCACCATGACACCCATGACGGAAGTTCCGTGGCCCCACTTGTCGTCGGGCAGGTGGTTTGTCTTGTTGTACGGGTCGAACCAACCGTATTCTCTTCGCCAGTTCGACTCCAACGACTCATGGGTATAGCGAACACCGGAGTCGATGTTGGCCACGACAATGCCTTCGCCCTCGATGCCATTGGCCCACAGAGCCGGCGCTTGGATCTTCTTGACCCCCCATGCGATGCCATCATTGACAGCACTTGCTGGTTTGTCATTGCTTTGGGTTTCACTGAGTGTCATTGTAACTGGCTCGTAAATGGATTTGACTTCCGGTAACGCCGCGAACTTGTGGACGAGGTCGGTGGGGGCGTTGTTGATGTACATAGAACATTGGATCCATGTCGTGGCCACTTCCACAGCCTTCGATTCAACTTGGTTGGACAGGAGCGACTTGACCGACGCCTGAGACTTGGTGGTGTGCTCCTTCAACGTATCAACCAGCGACTCGATGGTTTCAGTGCGAGACGCGCCGCCCTTGAGTCGGCGGCGGTGGGTGGTGAGGGCCTCGTCACAGTAAAATTTCACCACGATATTCGACTGCTTGGCGATTTCCAAGTTGCGATGCACTTGGACCGAGATCTTGTCCATGGCAGCGGTGACGGCGGTGGCGGCGAGGGCAATAAACTGGTACTGAACCATGATGTTGTTGGGTCAATGGAAATTGCAAAATGAGACCAATGACTCTCGAGCTGAATGTAGCAATAATTCTGATAATCGCTTCAGGTTAGCGAATTTTCTCTGGATGTAGCACATGACTTGCCATGGGTAACACGCTGGGAAATATGTATCAGGTCAGCTGTTGTGTGTACCAGGTCAGCTGTTGTGTGTACTGTCTGTGTACAATAAACCATTGGGACAGTACGTATCCACTTGCTTAGCAACCAATTGGAAATGTTTTTATACCATGGTAATTTCCTATGCAGCATATCGCATGATGAAAGATCGAGTTCCTGATCAATGGCTTGATGGCTGACTTGAAGTATGATAACAAATGTTTTGAGTGAAATGTAGAAGAATTCACGTTGTTGCTGATTCGGCTAATATTTTCATGACGATTTGCGTTGACCACAACTATATGCCTCAATCTCGCACTTGTTTGTGCTAGGAAATGCTTGTAATTGCCTCCTAAGACATCGCGATTATGAAGTACGATCGATTTGTGAACTCGTCGTGTTGGCAGACCACCCCAAGACTCCAGTGATGCAACGATTGAAAGCTTCGATGAAGTGCGTTGGCGTCTCAGTACTAAACCTTTGGAACGCTATCTAAAAGTGCAAGTGGTTCATAGAACGTGTACTTGTGCAAAATGAATAGAATCACGGAATTGCCTCAAATCAATTCCTTTTGAGTAGAGGCAGGATGAATCTGGGGTAAGATATACTACTTAGGGAGATTAAGTTTGGCAATGCTGTTTAAACACATTGAAGTATTCAACGAACGAATTTTGCTTTGACAAATTTCCATTTGTCCCTCATGCCATTGCACCGTGAAGACGAGGCATTTATGGCCTCGTCATGGTTCGCTACCAAAGGATGATGTCCAACGAAAAGAAGCGGAAGAAGGTAGAAGCTCAACGACGCTACTACCGCATGAACCTTCAAGATCGAGCTGCAATGTAATTTCAGTTTATGATTAGTAACTCGATCTTTGACGAAGCAAATGTGTTTTGACTGAAATTCTTCGAACTGGTCAAATAGATGGCGGTATTTTTTGCATGCTCCAAATACCAATTTACACACTGTTTGACGATGTGACATGGTCAAATTGTAAATATTGCTGGTATACAGTAACACAGCCATCTACTGGTTTTGAGACTTAATATGTATGGGTGAATATGATCGGACATACTTGACATTTGTATTGGACTTTAAGGGGAACATATTTTGTCCGAATGAAATTATCCGAACGGAATATGTTCGGACATACTTGTGTATTGTACACACCCGCATAAGAACGATCAGCTTTGCGACGTCAGAGCATCCGCCCACAAAATTGCGCGCACCGCAGCGTAGCGGAGGTCGTGTGTATAATTTTGTGCAGGCAGTGACTTGGTGAGGAGTGAGCCCCAATCGTGCACTTCACCGAATGTCCAATCGATTCCTCTTGTCGGGAAAGGCGGCAGGTAGGCCGCAGGCCGTGCCGCTACCCGGAGAAGGCCTGTGGTACAACTATTCGCATTTAATGTGTAAATCCAGTGAAGTGCGTGTCCGAAGCACATATCCAGCAAATATTTGTCCGAGTCGTTATGGTATGGCAACGTGATGAAATCGTAAACCTGGTACCGGTAGGACGGGAGGTTTTCCAAATGAGAGATACTACTCTCATTTGCAGTAGAGCCAATCATACTCGAGTACGTTCGTAGGCTTAAGCCAATGGCATTGTATAATTACAAATATTTCGATTTAGTGGGTTTCTATTGGCCCTTGAAAATGAGAAAATCTCTCATTTGCAGAGGCAATGAGAGATTTTCTCATCCCTAGCTTCAAGTTAGGCGTAATAAAATACTCAGAATCACTACTATTCCCCAATCTGCAAATGATAGAATCTCTCATTTGCAGATAGGGGAAATTCTGAGTTTTTTACATACTG